TTTTTTTTAAAAAAAAAACATTTAATATGAAAGGCTGTTCCCTGCCATATAACCTACCTGCATTTGAACATTAGGTTAATCTAGATATACCATGTTTCCCCGAAAATAAGATCCAGTCTTATTTTCTTTTGGCCAATAAACACCAGGTCTTATTTTCGGGAGATGTCTTACCTGCTTAAATTAGGACCACTGCTTCTAGGCCTCCCATGCCCCAACAAGTATTGTGCCGCTGTCCGACTCTTCTGTGGCTGCTTGCGGCCAGAAGCTATGTGGCTCATTGTGCCAGTGCTGCCACTCAAGGAAGGAGGCTGTGTGGCACATGACGTTGTTGTGCATGTGATTGGCGGCAATGGCGCAATGCATCACCTTGCATCTGGCTACAAGTGGCCACAGAAGTTGGGCAGTGGCACGACAGGTGCCAGGGCGTGGGAGGTCTGGCTGTGGTGGTCCTAAGGTAAGTGGGTGTGGGACGCGTGGGGCAGCTCCACCCCCACCTGAGCTTCATTTTACACAGGTGCCTCGTCCCACTTTGTATAACCAGACGATGGGACAAAGTGCTTGGAGGGCTTATTTTTGGGATAGGCCTTATTTTCGGGGAAACATGGTAGCTCTTTCACAACCCATGGAATACATTCTCATCATTGTTTATGGAACATAATATTAACAAGGTTAATGGATTAATTGAGCTGATACACTCTTTCCTCATTCAGCAACCAATCTGTTAAATTGGAAGTGAAATGGTTACTAAGCAAATGTGACTGAGGAAGAGAAAGAAAAACCACTACAAAGATCACTGGCTGCTACTATCTCATTTAGGTAAACTTCTCTTGTACAGCTATGCCAGTATTATTCTCAGTCCAGCATGCCTTGTCATCACATACAAAAATCTGGTTGTAAGTGTTCACAATTTCTATTACTGTTTCCTATTATGAACAAAAGTAAATTTCATAGGAAATTACTAGGGTTAGGAACATCATAAATACAATGGTATTTTTTGAAAAGACCAAAATCTTCCCCAAACAAAGAAAATAACATGCATACCATATATTGTATCATTTTGAAGAGGTAGTACATCATAAGTGGTATTTCTTGTTATATATTTTTTCTCAATATTTTGGGGCAGATCCAATTCTTCTGTGCATTCGTTTATTTCTTCACTATCACCACTTACAGGAAATGCTCTTTCTTCTTTCCTAAAGATTTAAAGTTTTGCATAAGTATTAATTGCCTAAATCTTTTAAGCACATTTCATAATTTCTTTAAAATATTTAAATGCTGGGAGCAGTAATTATGCTGCTGCAGCAGCTCTTTTCTGAAATAGTTTACTTAGATCACATACAAGGAATTAGGTGAAGCCTGAGGTACTTATCCAGAACCCCAATTGTTCTAGAAGGCTGTCTTCAACAGAAAATGACAATTTCAATAACTCCAAGCCCTGCTTTCACCCATCTCTCCATAGAGAAACATCTTTGTTTCCTAGGTCTCTGCCTAAAGTAGCTAGAGAAGGCAGTTTTCTAAACTTTTGAATGCAAAACCAGGATATAAACTTTTCAAGTGGAATTTTCTTTCTTTTTTCTTAAAACTTTTATGGAAGAATTCTATACAACAGTAAAATAATTCACATCTAAGAAAAAATGGTGAATACAGAAAAAAAGAGAGAAAAGGGGAAAAAAAGTATAAGGTGGCTTATTTTTACTCTTATTTCAAAGAGACATGGATAACCAGTCTTTCCATTGAGGCATTATTGATTGCAATTTGAGAAACTGTCAATAGAAATACTCTAGAAATTTAATCAAGAGAACAAAGAGGATAAAATTAGTACATAGCAAATGACGTTATAGACTAAATTGCATTGCACTGGTGTCAGAAGCATTGAAGCATTTCTGACTTGAAAGGATTAGCCGGTGATACAATACAATACGATACAATACAATACAATACAATAC